GGTTTTAGTGACACGATACTATCGATTTTAATGATTTCTGAAGATAATATCGATAATAATAATATGGCTGACTTGCGTCCCCCAAAACGGGACGCAACTTACCGGTCAAATTTATTACCTGAAAAATATTTTTTTTTTTGGGACGCAAGTAACATGCAGCCCAATAAACATATTTTAGTTTTTTTTTAGATCTAGGATTTAAATTTAAGAGTATCTATAGGACACTTAAACATTACTATTAACTATAATACTATTACTATTAAATTGATATACTTACGATTTATTTTAGGTAGAATAAATTTGTTCAAACAACCTCGAATTTTCTTCAGTTCCAAATCGTTTTTAAATTTTCTTTACGTTTTTGGCAACTACTTTTAGGTGGCATGATTTTAATTTAAAAAAATAAAATAATATTACAAAGTTGGTAGTAATCAGTGAACACTGGACAATGATCGTTATATAGGTGACACAAAGTGATAGCAGATATCTATGATTTATTGTAACCAAATGTAATATTAAATAATAGCACAAAATAATTAAATATTAAAAACAACCTATGTACATAAAAATGAAATATGGTATCTATATTATAACATAAACGTTAAAATGCCAGTTGTACAAAGTATCATAAATTGTTTTTTCATCACTTGATATTCCTCACATATAGTTTATATGTACAGACATTCAATAATACATACACTATGTATTAGTAAATGTATTAGTGAATTGGGTACAGAACACTAACAATGTGGCAATCATACATTCATGAATATGTGTATTCTTAGTAAATAATTTACAAAAACTACATCAATATTTAATGTACTAAAAAAAATCGAAAAAAATTAAAAGACGCAACATTTTCGGGCGACCATACTAGGTATATTCAATGGGCAAACCCGTCTAAATATCGCCAGAGCGGCCATCGTTAGTATCAACTTCCTACGTTTGCGGACCTACGCCTAATCGATTGACCTACAGGCTACAGTTTGAGTTGATTTCTATCGTCAAAACTACAACACCTAAACTATTTCTCCTCTGTGAAGAATATGGCATTACATACTAAAATAACTCATTAAATTCGTATGAATTGTGTGTAATAAGACATTAAATCGAATATACAAACGTTTTCATTATGTGAATCATTTTTTATTTTCTAAACATAATATAGTTATTACTGTAATTTTGCCAACTGTCAAGTAGGTAGGTACTTAGATTCATTAGTACCTATTGATTAGTTGGATTATCATAAGTCCTTAAATACTTTCTCTGAATACCCATATATTATTAATATGTACCTACTCTTATGTGGATTATTTAGAAATTGCACATAGATGTATAGCCCGGTAAGGTTGAGGGCGTCCGCAGAATTTGAAAGAGAGGCAAAATATTTTCATTTTTCAATTTTGTTCCACTATCTGATTAACTAGTGATAAAGTATAGTTTGTTACATTTTTCTTTCATGTAGATATGTAGAGAACAGTGGCGCCGAACTATATTTTAAAAGGGGGGGCAAGTAAAAAGTTATACGGACCAGTGACCACCACCCCCGTTTAAAATATAAAAACGTGGGGGCTTTGCCCCTCTCCCCCATGCAAGGATTCAATACTCTAAAGTGCCTTTATAGAGACTAATACTTTTATATTGTTCATGATGCCACTTTTCCAACCACAATCGTACATAGTAAGTACTATTCGTGGTTCAAACAACTTTAAATTACAATTTTTTAAGGGCAATATTTAGTAGCACAAGTACGTAACTAGCTTAAATATTTTGGGGAGGCTTATTTTTACTCTATTTTCATTTTTATTTTATTATTCCTAATGAAAGTGTTCACAACTAATTTCACGTTTTACTTAACAAATATTAAGTCACATGTATTAATGCACCTACTATAATTTACCAAGTTTTTTTAAACAGGTATAACGTATTTTATAGGTAGGTATCAAACAATATTATTCACATACTCTAAATAATTTTTAATCTGTAAAATATAATTATTATTTATTTATTTATTATTATTATCTTATTATTTTTTAGAAAATTTGATTATTAGTACAATAGTACCAACTACTAATGCATGTAGTGNTAAGAAGTTATATTAATTGTCAGCCAACTCACTAACTCAGCCAGGGTCCAGTTGCTTATTCATATGATCCTATTGGCCATTCCTTACGGCCCTTCTACAGTGCTGCATAATATGTATACATTAGGTAGTAGCTTAGGAGTTAGGAACATAATTCATAAATAGATTGTTGGGGTACCCACGGACCCCCACGACCCCACCCACTGAAAATAGGGGGGGGCGGTCGCCCCTCTTGAGGTGTAGCTAGGGTGGCCAGATATAAAATACGAAAATACGGGACAAAGATAAGAATTTTTTTATTATGAATAAACATCTATTTTTGATGAAATGATTAAATATTTAAAGTCTTAAATCTTAATGATAATTGATAACTAACAAATGTAACTTACTAAAATAATCTTTTTTGTATATTTAATCACAATTTTAAAAATTATAAATATTTTTTTGTATTTATAAGTATAAACTATAATATAGTGTAATATGATTTAACTGGTGTTCGAAGTTGATGCTTGGGTATTTAGTATTACAGTTTTTGACTCCTTCGGCAAATATTTTTCGGACGAATGGATATGTTTTAAAAGTTTTTTATTTCCCAATAGGAAATCATGAAACTCAGAGCAGTTCTCGGTAAAAAAATGTTTTACGACTGACATGGCTTTAACAGTTTTAACATCAAATCGGCTTTTATCATCAGTCCACAAGTTATTCATGTCGGAGAAAATTCGTTCAACATTTGCATTAGAACCAGGAATACACATTAAAAATTCCACAACGATTTTTAAATTTGGAAAGTCTTCATCGATATCTGCTGTTTGAAAAACATAGGTCCATTTTTCATCCAACGAGTTAAAAGATTTAATCTTTTGGTTTTTCTGTAAATTGGTTTTAATAATAGTAAACTCGTCAAATAATTCTGCCTCATTTAATGTAAGACTAGGGATTACATTTTTTATTAATTGTATTGTATTTGAAATGTTTTTCCAGGAGAAATCGTCTTCTATATTTTTTAAAGTAATCCATGAAACTCCATTGAACTTGCATAGTGTTGGATTTGTCCACTCGGTAATATAGTCTGAACATGTGTCAAAAAAAATTGCCCGGAAGTATTATATATATTTTGTGTCAAAATTGATTCATCTCTTAAATTGTTTAGTAATTCAGTTTCCTTAATCGTCATGAAATTGTTAATATTTCGCGACTTAATTTTTAGTAGCAAAGTGTCTATATGACTTTTTACTTCGACGATAGACAAATTGGCTGTTTCGACACTTTTAGTTGTATTAAAAAAGAGTTCACATTGAGTTTGAAGAAATATTGTAAGAAGAAGTGACAATGGATTTTCAAAAAAAATTTTTAGCATGGCTGGACATTTTTCAATAGATAAAAAATAAGACTTCAATCCCTCAAACATTTCAATAAGTCTTGTCAATGCCGGATATAGCGATAACCAACGAGTTTTTGAATGCCCTAATACTGATTTGTATTCTATATTAACAAAATCACAAAACTCTTTTAGTGAGTGGACTCTAACAGTATATATATAGAAATGTTGAAATATTTTTCCCACTACCGCTTGAATGTCAATAGCCAAAGTGTCAGCAGCAGTTTGTATTGAGTTATTTAAAATATGTGCAGCACAACCAATACCAATCAAATTTGTGTTAATTGATTCTTTTAATTTGTAAAAAACATTGTTTTTTCCTCTTCTATTAACACCGCCAAAATTTGTATTAGTGTTATCGGCCGAAAAAGCTATTACTTTTTTTAAGACGTCCCAGTGGGATAAAACTTTTGAAATATAATCAGTTAGTAGAAAAGATGTTTCACCTGACAACTCGTCAAACTCGAGTATTTTAGTTTTAACTCCTTCATTTGGAATAAAATAACGAATCATTACAGGTACCATTTTTTGAGAATGATGATTTGACGCGTCTGTTAAGACACTAATAAAATTACATTTAGACAGTTCAATTTTTAGCATTTCATTTGCATATGGATAAAAAACATTTTTTATTATTTGTGCTGTTTTTGTTTTGCCACAAGAAAACTTTTTGTTGAATAATTTCCTAACAAGTTGAGATGTACAATCCATTGATCTTAAGCTATGATTATGTTTACATATATGATATGCAAAAACACCTTCGCGGATAGATTATTTTGATTTTCGTTAAAAGATTTTGTATTGAAAAAGTCGCTTACTTTTTGGGATTTCTTTGCATTACTGGTTAATTGATGTCGATTTGTTTTGATGTGTTGGTTGATATCTGACTTGCCGCCGTGATCGATACTAAAAATACCACCGCATACAGTACATTCTACCTTATCTTCCTGGCCCATATTTTGACATTTTGTAATAAATTTGAATTCGTTTTGTAAACTTTCGTTAAAAACACATTTTCTTTTAGGCATAGTTATTATTTTAATTATTAGTTCAACTTATGTTTTACAGTAGTTATGAATGTATGATCGATTTTAAGATATACACAGATAAATGTTCACACACGAAACGTTGAACACTAACTGAGAAACAGAGAAAATATAAAAATTATAAATATTTTGTTGAGACCGACATTACGAGAGAAATCATAATCTATTTACAAATAATATACACATAGTGCGCTATAATATTATAATATAGTATTACGACGAAGACCAAAAATAACTTTATATTCGAATAATCGAATTCAATACTTACAAATCGGTTATCATAATAAATATAGCAAAAATATTATTTTTCTACAAATGCATAATTTTATACTAAATAGTATTTACATATTTTCTATTATATGAAAATAGTCATATTCTTAAAATACGGGACAATATAGCGTCCCGGAAGCATATGTCGGGACAACGGGACAGACTTTTGAAATACGGTACTTTCCCGTATAATACGGGACGTCTGGCCTCCCTATATATTACCTACTTTGAGTTTTTGGTTTTGTACTCGGTAGTCTCAAGGTTATCCTAAAGAATAGCTACTATGTCTCACCATGGGTTCCTGATGTTGGCAATTCGATATTTAACTAAGCATACAAGTTATTTAAGTCTAGGAACATTTGTCGACGTCCTTCGATTTAGGTCTGTAACGTCGTAAAGGTCTGCGCGAAACCGACACGGAGTATCGGCAGTTATCGGAGTAATCGGAGTTTAACGGCTTAATTAATTATAATTAATTGTACTGGTTAGTTTATAATATTATTAGA